GGCAGGTTTTTCAACATATTTATTTATAATTTACGTTTCTTATCCAATCGTTAGTCTTAAGAGTAATTTATTCAATCGTTTGTGAAGTAATTCGAGCCATCAATATCCAGACATTTTTTCAAAAATTCCGATTACTCTATTGTTCATATATCATCCCGATTACTCAATTACATACCTATTGGTGCGGTTCCCGCCACCCTGAACGAAACTTTAAGCAGCTAGTTCTAAAATTCAGAACCTCATAAACGTAATATTGTATTTGCGTCACTCCGGAAGTAACACAACGTATTTCGTCTTCCGTGATTCTATTACAGAAATTCACCTATCCAGTATGTCATTCAACGTTTTGGTTTCATTTGGTTTCTCTGTTCTTATCTATTAGTGACCTGCCCAACTACAGCGACAAGGAACCACCACTACTGACATCGTTAAAGCACACTGAAATAGTATTAGTACCTTTTGTAAGTTAGGTAATATGTTGGTGAAGTAATTGGTTGTTAACAGTATTCAATTTACTTTGAACTGTGATTTAATATTTTTATAGACGATCATTTAGATTTTTGTTAGTCAACTCAGTACATAGCAAAACAGTATACAGCAAGGGTCCACTTCGTGTCAGAGTGAAGTCTTTCCTTAAATATATTATCGTCATTCACGAGTCCCTTGGAGCTACATTCTCTACTCAAATTTAACAATATATTTAGGTTTTTGTAGCTTTAATTATGCGAAAAGTCAACGTTACAATATATAAACAATTTACGTTACAAGTAACCTTATTATGAGTCGATTATTCTCACATATTAGCACATTTTAAGCCCTTCAATATTTAATTAACCTACGAATGAATATTCAAACGAGTAACTATAGTCTACCACATGAAAAATGTTATTTAAATTATTACGAACTATTTCAATCTCAAGATATCCATTACTTCGTGAAGATTCTATACGCAGTAATACAGCATCATTAATACTTGTCATGAATCCCACTGCTATCATATCTCTTGTTGGTTTAGACTTATGACCATTCGGTAGAATATAGGAAATTATTCCTTTGCCTGAACTGAATTCATAGGCAATCGCTTCTGTAACCATCAAAAATTAGAAAATCAGATTGTTCACCAAAAAAATTAGTTATATTTATATCCATTTTGTATACCATCATTGCATGTCGGCCCTCGAAATGTAGTCATGTCGCAATCGCACATGAATGTATCAGGTCGTTGGATACATCGACCACGATTCGAGCAGATTTCATGATGACATTTTCTTGTTGAATGCAAGCTATCGTACTCAAAACATCCTGTCTCTACCAATGAGCTTGTCACAATTGCATCTGTTATTAGGTCAACGCTTTGACCACTAAGTTCGAAAGAAGCTAAACAACCTTGAAATCCATGCTGACTTATGATAGGTTTTGGGAGTTGGCCGAATGATGTTTTTTCAACACCTCCTGCAAAATAAATTTCAATTTTATGAACAAGCAAATAAACAGCTGAAACATTGTGTGATCAACAATCAAAATAATGATTTTGATAAGAAATTAACTAATTAACGTCATTTTATACAGTAAAAAGCTGATTATATCTCACAGGAAATCGGTAAGAATCTTAAAAATGCTCTGAACAAGTTGAGTCGAGAAAAAATTAGTGTCAGTGTATATATTTTAGAAAAATTAACTTCCAAAGAAAGATAAATGTAAATATATCCAGATCATAGGAATACCAAAGTCTAATCCAGAACGTTCTCCTTTTTTCCACAACCGCAAAGACTCAACACAGGACTTACAAACTTTATTCGGAACCCATGATTTATCTAATTTGTCCATTTTAAAACCGAAATATTCAGCATAAGTCTCCTTAACAAAGTCTGTGATATTTCGTTTTTGTTTTTTTAATATATAAATACCACAAATAAAACAAAATAAATCATTACTATATTTACACTTTCTTCGTGACGAACTCATGTTTAAAAAGACAAGACAAATATATTAGAATGAACACTCAGCAATTGAATCAAAATATTAACATATGACAACTTATCCAGATTCACGTGTAAGTACTTCAATATTATCAAATAACTGAGTTATCAGCTGTTTTGCGGAGCAAGGAGTCTGAGAGTGGAGATG